ATGACATCACATGGATAATCTATAGCAAGTTGTTTGCCTTCTCAAGGAAGGGAGAGAAGAGAGAAGGAGGGAGAGAATTTGACCTCAAAATTTAAAAAAACATGTTAAAAAAATTTTTACATGTAACTAAAAAAATTTTTTTAAAAAAATTTGTAGTTGGTGTTCTCTGATGCCTTTTCTTGGAAGACATCAGATATGTGGACACTTGTCCCATTGTTCAAGGCCCCCTGTTTTGTTAAGAATGGATCTCGTGAAGAGAAAATATTATAACAAACTATCGTGGCATTCACCATTGGTATTTCAGTTACTCAACGAATCCACCCACAGAGACGGTGAACTTTGAATTAACTGCTTTAAAGAGCACGGTGAAGTAAATCTTGATAAAAATCAAAGGCTGAAGAAATCTTGTTTGACAGAAGGCAGCAACAGAAATGCTCGAAGTGCATACGGCTCAGGGAGAAACACTCCTTCCCTGACAGACTAAATGAATAATAACAGTTCAAGCATCTCGAAATGCCGTACGATCAAAAGGCAGAGACTTTTTTTTTTTAAACACAGCCTTTTAGTACCCTGGGAGAGCTTGAGCTGGGCCCTGATGTTGGGCCTCTCAAATGTCTGAAGGAGTTCTTGTGTCCAGCCTCCTGCTTCCGGTGGTGGGTGGAGAGAGGTTCCGGCGTCATTCACAAGAGGAGGCAGAGAAAGCAGAGACCTCCAGAGCAAGGGACAATGAGAATCCATGAATCCACCTTAAAACTGGAAGAGACTCTGCTGCCTCCCCAATGTTTCAGGGGACTGTTATTTCATGGGGAGAGGGGCTCCCTCTCCAGAGCACACACTATGGGTTACAGGCCCTGCATGGGCTTAGCAGCCTTTGAGGATGAGAGGCAGCAAACATCACAATTCTGTCACTGAGAATGGCTGGCATTACCTAGCAATTGATAGGCTTGCAGGGGGCTTTACAGAAACTGTCCCATTAGATCCTCACAACTAGACTGGGAGAGGGGCTATAGATATTATCCCCATTTTGTAGATATGAAAATGGAGGCCCCAAATGGCTCCTGGTCCCGCAATGCAGGTGGAAAGAGTCCTGGATTTAGAGGCAGAGGACCTGAGTTGGAATCTTGGCTCTGCCTCTTCCTGCATGTGTAACATTGGCTAAGTCCCTGAACCATCCTGGGACTCAGTTTCCTCACTTGTAAAATGAGGATGGGCTAAAGGATTTCCAAGAGACCTTTCTACAGCTGTTGGTTTTTTGTCCTTCCTTCTCAAAGAGGACCATGACATCAGAAAGGTGATGACTTGAAAGTGAATTGGATTTAAGTGAGGTAATGCAAAGTCTCCGGCCTCACTTTCTCCTCCGGAGACATTGGGGTCCAGTGGCAAGATATAGATCGGTATGACCAGAGACGGCCTTGAATGTAGTGGGAGACCGTGGCCTTTTTAAGCTAAGGTCTTTCCCAGGTCTCAGTTTGTCTGAGGCAACACCCATTCACTGATCAAGGCTAGGTAAGGGGAAAAATAAAAGTGACAGATGTGGGATCTGAACTCTTCTTCTCCTGGCTCCAGGCCCTAACATTTTGCCCACATGTAGCATTTAATTAGGCTGGTCCTTTGACAACAGAAATATAGTCCATTCCTGGGCTCACATTCAAGGCTCTTCCAGTTTGGTAAGACCTGACACTGGGGCAGTGAGGTGGTGCAGGACCTCTAGCCAGAAATCTCATCTTCCTGAGTTCAAATCTGGCCTCAGCTACTTCCTATCTGTGTGTGACCCCAGGCAAGTCATGTAACCTTGTTTACCTCAGTTTCCTCATCTGTAAAATGAGCTGGAGAAGGAAATGGCAAACCACTTTCCAGTACTTTTGCCAAGAAAATAAATACATAAGCCATAGCTTATATTCTGCTGGCATAGATTCAAGACCTCCTGGTCAATTAAACACCATAAAGAAGCACTGGGAAGACGTTGAGGGAGGCTACCTTGCTTTATGATCATTAAATAAATGGTATCTTGATTTGTAGAGGGCCACAAAGCTAAGAAAATTATACAAGCAAAATGTTGCATTGCCCTTCTAGGACCAACACACGCCAAGTTCATGCATGGGACAGGTTTTGAGTACTAGGGGAAAAAAACATTAGAGGCAAAAATCTCTCCTCAGTGGTCTGGAAAAGGGCCTGCCTTCAGGGCTTAGCACAGTGCCCGGCACACAGGAAACAATGCTTACTGATTGACTTGATTGGGAGCCATGAATTTAGTTATGAACTGACTTTCAGAAGAAGACACGGCTCCCAGGAAGCAATAAGAATGCTTTGTCTTGTTTCTTAAATTTAATATGTTTCCTTATTGGAAAAATGGAAGCATCTTGCTAGAGATCTAAATCTATAGTTTTTATGGAATAAACCTCTCACTCAAGAAAATCTCCATCATCATTATCTTAACATAGACAGTGACTCAAGAAGCAGCTGGTGGTGCCATAGTGAACAGAGCACCGGGCCTGGAGTGGAGAAGACTCATTTTCCTGAGTTCAAATCTGGCCTCAGACTCTTACTGGCCGTGTGACCCTGGGCAAGTCACTGTTTGCCTCAGTTTCCTCATCTGTAAAATGAACTGGAGAAGGAAATGGCAAACCACTCCAGTGTCTTTGCCAAGAAAACCCCCAATGGGGTCAGGAAGAGCCAGAAGTGACTGAAGAACACTTTACAAATCATCCTTGCCTGTCCTCTATAAATTCACCCCTCAGTGTTCTAGTCCTTCCTTCTTGTGACATTATGAAAATACCAATGAAGCTTGCAAGCTGTCCACTGGCTAGTTCTTCCTCTTCTTCCATGACCAACCCTTCCTTTTTTTTCATTGTATGTTTGTTGACAATATCCTTTCCACCGTTTCTATATTAATTCCTCATTTAGCGTGGATTACAACCAGCTCACACCCCCAGTGTGCCTCTTTTCCACTGTCCTTTGGATGATCAACTTTTATTCTCTGGAGACTCTAGAGTTGCAAAGAATCATCGATCAATGGCAAACATAAGCAATGTTCAGCTGGCCAATGGCACCCAAGATGCTTTGTTGCAAAGTAAGACACCTGGTCTTTCCAATGCCACCTCTGAACATCTCTAACTTAATAATCCTTTATTTGATATAACCAAAACATGTTAACTGCATAGTTATGTTTCAAGAGGCAAGAGCTGTTGCCCTTAAGATTCTGAGTAGAATCTGGTAAGCAAGGAGAAATTCAGATAGAAGGCTGCAAGAGATGGGAGGAAGGGAAGACCAGTTTCAACTTGGGGTATAAGAGATGTGTATTGCCTTCTGGAAAGGAGTCATTTTGCAAAGAAAGAAGGCTTTCAATTGTTGAAGATGCAGAGTGCTCATGATGGGGAGTTAACAGGGCCAAGACTGGAGATGACGGGACCAGATAGAATTAATAGCTAATAGTCCAGTCTGCCTGGAAACGGAGAGTATGCCATCTGTGACTGCCTGGGCACAAGGCCAGCATATGGCAGTCTTCTTGACTCTATGGCTCACCTTCCACTTAATCAGACTGTCCCTTAGGAGAGACAATTATATGGATAAATTTAGCACTCGATGAACCCTTTGCAATTACTCTCATCTCCAACTCTTCATCCACCCTTGGTCATTCCAGACTTCTCTCTCTCACTTAACATGGCACTTAGAGGCCCTACTTCGCTTAGTAGTATCTTTCCTACCCCATCTAACTCACAAGGTATTGTTCGTAACATACCAGAGTCTGCTTAAACCCATAATTATCTCCCCGTTGCCCACTGGATCATTTGTAATTCAGTAGGTTCTATTTTTCTCTTTGTAAAAATTACATGAAGAAACATATGGAACATATTTTGACTGAAAACACTCAGTGATATATGGAGCCAGTAATGAATTTTCATTCTAAAGAGAACATGTACACATGACCACATACCCTTTATGACTACTTCTGGAAATGCATTTTCTGCAATACTAAATTGGTTGTTTGGTTTGTACTTCTGAAAAAAACCAACCCTACTTTTAAGATGATGAAAATTCACCCAACTTAATGACTTGTCTTCACTTCCTTTAAGATGCAGCTTCAGTACTTCCTCTTACATGAAGCCTTTCCTGATCCCACCAACTACTTTGTAAATGTCTATCAATTTTACATTTATGCTATATATTTTATATGTATTTGTCTCCTTCATTAGAATGTAAGTTCAATGAGAAGAGGGGCCTTTTCATTCTTTGTACATGTGTCCTTAGCACTGTGCCTGATACATGGCAGGTGATGAACCACAGTCTACCTTAGTGGGCCTAGTGCAGCCTCCCTTCAGTCAGTAAACATTTCTCCATGGAGAAATGAAGCTCATTCCCACAAGAAGGAAGACGTTTTTAGCACTGGTTATGCTATAGGTTTGGAAAATCAAACGTAGACCTAACATAGTAATTGAGTGACGGCTTCATTGCTCTTTTCTCTTCCCATCCCCATGTCTTCAGTTGTTCCCTGGGAATAAATGAGGTGCTAAGGGATGTGGCATTAAAATAAGTGGTCTCTTAGTGGTAAGGAGAGACAGTTTCTCTCAAGTGCCTAATTTACTATCAGAGCTACTTAGACATTGGGGAAATTCCACATCAATAAGCTATGAGTAAGCTTCAGAGTTTCCATTTCATGGATTGCTGATAGTATGGACTATGAAAAGAGGAAGTCTAGTATTCAAGGAAAGGTTATATGCGAAGAGCGTGGGATGCTAAATACACCCAATTCTGCATTTGACAAATGTTAGCTTCGTCAGACAAGGCTACAAGGACATTAGTTTTACAATTAACACAAGTGCCTGGCATGTCTGTCCATTTGACCGAGCTCGGGTCACCATACTGTTTATTATTGTCAGTATTAACTTAGAGGAGAGTTCTTTGAGGAAGAGGCAAAAAAAAAATGTACTCATGAACTGGTTCTTTGAATTTAGAGTTGCCATGAACTCATGGCCTCTACTTGCTTAAGGAAATAGAAGTCCTTGGTATAATAGATCCCTTTAATCCAAAAATTTCAGTTTAATACAGATTTTAAGCAGAAAAAACATACAGAATACAAATTATACATTTCTCAGCCAAAATAACATTCCTTAAACAATTTCATGTCAGATGAAAACTTTTAATCAAAAATAAAAGTGGTACTTCCTCGTTGTTAAAGCTAAAAAGCATTAACCGCAAGGTTAGACCATCCAGAACAAACCTTTGCCTATGATTGGTACCCATAAAGTAATTAAAAGTAAATACGTAAACATTTAACTTCGGCAATGCCTTTGAAATGTAAGTGTGGAAAGACATCGCCATCTACATTACAGTTTAAGACTAATGGAACATTTAAGATGTACCAGGAAATTAAACTGTCATCAGTTAAAGTTTAATTAGTGTTTTAATATTTCACTCTTAAAACACAATTTGTGTTTTGCTAAATTCCTTCCATACTGAAAAAAAAAATTCTTGGAGCAATGGCATTTGTCTGCCAGTTCAGAGTAGGATTCTATCTCCACTACCTCTCCTCTCCTCACCCCGCATTACAGGTGATTGCTTTTTAAAATGGCATTTCACATAAATTGTACCACACTGCCCTATAATTCCATTTGGGGCTGAACTAATTAACTTCTCAGCAGGTGGCTGAGGTGCTTGAATCCATGCCTGAAGAAATACTTGACTGCTTATACAATACAAACATGTCTAACTGACCTTACGTGGGTTGTCTCTAAATCATCACAATTTCCATTTTTAATAGTAGCAGGTAAAATACATTTAATAGAACCCTAAAGGGCAAAGATAAGGCATTTATAAATGGATTTAACTTTTCCACATACATTTGAATCCACTTAAAAAGGTGCTGTCATAGGTCAGGGGGTACCTGAGAAAGTTAAAATGGATTTCGCAAAACTCGCCAGAGAATTGGTATGTCTGCTATTTCCTGAAAAGCTGTTTACCTTAGGAGGCGTAAATTATATGCTAACCAAATGCCTTCTAGATTTACATCTCCGTCCCCACTCTGTGATTCTATTATTTTTGTATTTAACCACACTGTGACTGTCATTGTTTAAAAATACATTAATGCTATTAGAGGGAATTCACATAGCAGGGCATAAAATGCAAATGTGCTACCAGAGTCATCTTCTGAGCATCAGAATAGCATCACAGAATTGCCATACATCTATTAGCTCTATCAAGTTTCACCAATTAGACCGTCATTACCAAGATTGGGCTGAAGTCTCTAGCCAAAAAAGGCTGTGTTTCAAGTTTATCGTCTGTCTACACGAAGAAACAATTTAAAGGGGCACACAAGGAATGTGAAAGGACAGCCCATTCATTAAAGCTGAACCAGCATTTTTTTTACAACTCAGCATACATTACTCTATATCATAAACTGCCACCCTTTATTGGAAATGAGATAAAACAAACAGGTCTTTGATGAGCATCATGGGTTTAACTCAATACCTTCCAACAGTTTCTTCAAGGGATAATAGAGGCCTGGAAGGTTTTTGTATGACAAGGACGTCTTCCATAGGGTATGTATGTGAGAAGGAAAGAGGAGGGAAATCCTATTCCAGAAACCTTTCAATTCAGTGTGTCTGTCTAGGGGGAAAATAATATTCTTTCTAGTATCTCCCAACAATGACTGTAAATCTGGTGGGGATACAGAAATTTAGAATTAAATTAGAAAACTTGCTTTGGGGTAGGAAGTGGTATAGTTGATTGACCAATACCTACCAATTGATAGGTTATGCTTAAAATAGGAAGATTTTTGGGAGTCATTAATTTAGTCCTATTCCTGTCTTTTGTATGTTTTTGTAATATTTGCATGTTATGTATATGATATACAATCCTCTTACAGGCATATTTCCTAGAAGTTGTTTCTAGGAAGCATATTACTTTATGGAGTTATATTTTCACTTTAACATCTAGAGTGATGACATTTATTAGGCCATGGTATAGCTATGAGACAGTAAAGTCCCTGTTCTATTACAACAGCTATGGAAAGAAGTTTCATTAATTTATCCTAGATTTTTTTTTAAGAGCTAGCAGATACCCTAATGGTAATTATGCAGTTGTCTACACCAAAGCATAATGGGAAAATGTACAACTTAAAATATTTTTTACTAGATTCCATGCTTTTGTGCTACTTAATCTAATAAACCATAAGCAAACAGGGCCCAGATCTCACCAATAGCAAGAGAGGAAGCTGCTTTAGGTTTTTTTTTTTTGTGGGGGGGGGGTTGGAAGCAATTTAACTCTTTCCAGACATTATGGTAACAATAATGAGTTATTTCCTTTAGTGCACAAATGGTGCCAGAGATACCTCAGAGTCAGTGAAACTCTAAAAGGGCAAACAATTTACTTGGGGCTCACAAATAGGATTGGATTACTCTAGACTAAGTCCTTATTGAATCAGATGTTGGGTATTCTGCTTAATGGTCACTCAATTCATATACATTTCTATTAAATTACCATCAATATAAATTTTCCTTTACGTGCTATTTATAATCAATTGACCTCTACCTATTTAGAATCTATTCACATAATTTACCTATCTGTAATCACTCTGCAGACCTTAAAGTGATATACAAATGAGAATTATTATCATTCGCTTTATTTACAACAGAAGTTACAATCCAAGACGAAGAATTAGATGGACATTTTTAGATATGGCCAATGTGGGACATGCTTTGCTTGACTTGTACATATTGATTAAAAGGTCTTTTTTTTCTTTCTCTTTCATGGGAGGAGACAGAAAGAGGGACAGAAAAGATGTTTGTTAACTGAAAGAATAAAATGAAAACTTTAAAATAAAGAGAACCTGTATTATTCTTGGTCTCGGCCCAGCAGTAACCAAGAGGTCATCAGGAAGAATATAAGGGGCTCCAGTTCATCCATGTCCAAAGGCAGAGAAACAGTGGAGACATCTATCTCTAAGACCTTCAAAGTGGCCCACTGAGGAAAGGTACGACTGGTGTGTAAATTATTTTTTGTAGCCAGGAACTTTTAACTCACATCAAACTAAAATCCCTCCCTGTTGTAATTTACATGAGAAATGAGAAGGATGGAATTCAAAAGTTTCCAGAGAGGTTAGTGGTTCCAACTATGAAAGAGAGAATGGCTGAGCCTAGTGACACAAGCCATTCTGCCTCTGGCATAGTCTAGATATACAATTAAGTAGAAACAGATGACAGAAAATACTGCCTAAAACAGCTCTATTTTTTAAAAAGAATTACTTTACATTTTAATGCTGGTATTTTCCTTTTAGACTTTCAATGTCATTTGTTAAAAGGGCAATCAAAACTGCAATTAATATCAACTTCTTTGACTGGAGAAAGGAAGTTAGTTTTATTTCTAGGATTTCATAGGCAGAATCTTTTATAAGTTATACTAGCCGAGTATTCAGGGTTGCCTTCTCACAGAGGATCTTGTCTCTCCTTGTTCCTTCAGTGTTTGGGAAATTCTCCCCCATTCTTTGTATGTATCTTGGCTACGCAAAAAGGTACCAATACCAGATAAAGCAGCACCATTCTACGTGTTCAATTCTACCTAGATATATATATATACATATATATATGTATATATATGTATATGTACATATGTATATATATATGTATATATATAGGCACACATACATATTCTACACTTAAAAATTACATGTAGGGCCACAGATATCATCAGAAAAAATAAAGGCTCCAATTAAATTAACAGAGGCTCTTTTGGCCAAGCATTTATTTTTGCATTGTAATAATGCAGGCCTGATCCAAGATTTGGAGCTTTTAATAGCTTTAAAAAGATCCCCAGAGATTAGAGAACAGGGCAGCAATTTAATCCCTGTATTTTTATTTCCTTCTTCCAACAACATTTAGAATTCGGTAAGATTTGAGATGGTTAGTGTTGCTACTGACACCTTATGGAAAATGCTTTGTTTGGAAATTTGGATCAGGTTTTTTTAAGAAGCCGCCCTCTGTTCTTGCTTACAAGGAATATTATAACAAGAAAAGGGTTTTTTGTTCCTTTAAGGAGTTCATCTGCTCCTGCTGTTTATTCCTCTCCTTGAATTCATAATCCCATTTCTGTCACCATGATTAGTTGCTATGGAAATTACCACCTATGGAAATTATGTCACTGCTGTAAGAATCTGACTTTAGGTAGATAACAGAGACAACACATTATAAACCTAACTAAGAAAGGAAGATCACGTTTAATACCAACACTATTTATCTGAGTTAAATATGGAAAATTAATACCATATTCAACTTCTCTAAGAATTCCTAATCTGCCATCTCCTTTGAACACAACTGCTAATTAAATGTTAAAATGTTGGCCAAGCACTCAATTACAAACCAAAGTTTGAAAATCCAGTGTTACACAATAGGAAATTAGCACTGGATACAGAAAAGTGAATCTCTTGTTCAATAATGCATATAGAACATGTAGTCACGTGTAATTTCTGTAGGCCAAAACTGGGGATATTTGACTTTCAGGGATTATCGGTAAAACACAGCTATGGGGCATATCAAGGAAACAATTTTAAATAGTGTATTAAAAATTCCTTTTAAAGATGAAGAATTCAATACGATTCCAGAATTTATCCCAAGAATTTAAAAGGTCAAGTCTATAAACTGGTGACTAATACTGAACTGGAGCCAGTGAAATGTCAGATGAGAATTCCAGAATATTAAAGAAACTTTCTTGGGCGGATTCGGCAATTTGTGGTTTGAATAAAACTTTTGAAATATGAATTAAAACAAACTTTGATTCCCATTAAAATTCACAGGATGAATATATGACACATATTTAATAACAGAACTAGAGATTCTCTTCCTAACAACCTTCAATTTTTTCAGCTCTTATTTTCCCTGGGGCCAAAGTTTTAAATCCTGGTGTTGAGGTGGGTGCAAGTTAACTCTTCCAGACTCTTAAGACTACGTTTAGAATCTGACTCATTCATTCAGTTGTGTAAACTACATGGAGACAATTAGGCATAGAAAATAAATATATTCCCCCCCCCAAGAAACAAACCAGTTCTCTCCCCTAATAGTATAAAAAATCCCTATCCATTCGCAATATGAATAGTTACCACAGTCATTAAGCAGCAATACATCTCAAAGCCTCTGAAGCAACAATAGCCTCAATGGCTAACAGCAACTAACATTGGCTTTTGTTAAGCCATGTATTCCAGAAGAGCAACATCTAGGATTACAACCAAGATCTTGGGTCAAGAACACTTTTGACGGTTTTCTGTCCTGGAGCTGGCACTGGCATGGCCTCTACATCTGGTTTCATGCCCGAAGAGGCCAAGATCTCACCACCAATGAAACTATTATCTCCACTGGGAAGTGGCTGATGAGGTGAAGCCATAGGTCTGCGTCACTGATGTATCCAAAGAGGAGGTCTGAGACATGAAGCTGGTCTTTTCCCAGACGTTCTCCTTGTCCAACTGGTCTGCCTCTGTCTGTCCTTTTGTACTATATGGTGGCTTATCCGAAGGAGGAAGAGGGGCCCGCCTTTTCTTTCTCTTCCCATCTTTATTACTTAATTCTTCATTTGTTGGAGACACCTCAACATTTTTCTCGAAGACTATTTGACGAGTCCCATCAAAGAATGCACCCCATGGGGGTGATGGTTGTTTTTCACCAATGAGGAACTGCCCATTAGAATCTTCAATTTTCTTCTTTATCATATCAGTTAAACCCTCAAGTTTCACTGGGGAATCAATGCCTATAATGATTTTAAGGGGGAAAAAATGGTGATAAAAATCCAAAGTTACAATAATTTTTCACTAGAGAGTAACTATTCATTTCCTAACTTTAAGAGCTAGTCAGCGTCTTAGATCAATACCTTAGATAAATCTAAATCATTTTAGGATGTTTGTGATAAAAGATGATCAAGTTTAAAAAAACAAAAAGTCAAAATAAAAATTTCATTCATGTTAACGAACATCTCTGAGTCCCAGCTTCCTCATCTGTAAAGTGACGAGTTTGGAATAGATATATTCTATGCTCCCTATCCCCTCAAGGTCTAAAATTCCATGTTTCTTAATCAATATAATTCTCCTGCAAGCAGCTGGTCAAAAGTGTTCCTACTTGTGGATAGAGAACATTGCTAGGGGAGATGTTATGCCCTAAACTAAAACTGCTCCTGAAGGGTTTTCTGCAATCTGGAGTCTGTCATATGTGCACACACATGCATGTACACACACATACATATATGTATAATATGCATATGTTAAATGCATATTACATATAGTATATATGTATTATATGGTATATATAATGTATATCTAATATATTATACTTATATATTACGTAACACACACAAATACACATATACATGTGTTAAATATATTTTATGGTCTACATTTCATATTATATGTCTACATATATTATATATTTAATATATCATATGCTTATATATTATATTATATATACATATACATGTATATTAAATATATTTTATATTCTATATTTCATATGTCTATGCATACATTTATATGTATACATATATGTACACACATCTGTGTGTACATATATTTTTATATTATACATATTTTAGAGAGTATATCTGTACACGTAACATACACATCCACATTCATAGATTTATATACATATATATGAACAGCTCTAGGTGGAAAAGCTCCACCTCACTTCTGAGTAAGGGTAATGTTTCCATTTCCACTGCAGCCTGCATGACAAAATTTCAGACTGTTGTGACTGCATGAACATTTGGCTTCTAGACTGTAATCGCCTTGGCCAGGGGGGAAAAGCCCAGAGCCACAGAGTGAGGCCTCCCCTCTCACATCTATCTACTTTCTTCTGTAAGGAACACGTCCTGAGCATAAATAGCTAGTTGAACATTTACTCTTAAACAAAACATAGTATTTTCAAACATTCTGCCAGGCTTGAGGAGTATGTAAGTTTGGATACATGGGGATGATGATAGATTAAAACAGAAGGTCATTGTGATTTCCTATCTATACACAATATGGCTGAAAACTCACAAAGCTTAGATCTTAAATACCCTTTAAAATATGGTAGATTGGAATATCAATGAGACTGGAAGTTTCAAACTTTTCCAAGTACCAAACATTGCAATTTTCTTTGGCCAAAGATGAAAGCTTTCCTTTCATTAATATTCATTTTCTAAAACCACTTAAAAATGAATTTAATAAAAAAGAAAAAATTACAGTACATGACTGTAATTTGGAATATTGTAAGCTTTCATTTTCAAAATTTTCATCAGCTACTCAGTTAATGTTTATTTCCCCTGTACCTTTATTCATACGGAAGCCTTAAAATTGTGTTTGATCTTAAGCATTCAAGCTATGAAAAATGTGTATTCATTAATTTTGTATTAATTCATATATTAAACATGAACTCCTTAGGATGTAATCATAGTCTTTTTTCATTCATTCTGACGGCCCCTAAAAAATTCAGCATTTTAATGTCAATAGAACAAGCTGTTTGAATACAGACAATGTTGTTTTTGTTACCCTGCAGCTTGGAAAAGACAAATCCCACTTACTCATATCATGGTAGACTGAGGTCGCCTCTTTTGTCAAGAACAAAGGTGGTTTCCGTGGTGACATAATCTCAATTTTCATAAGTTCTTCACAACAATGCTTCCATTGGCCTGAGAAAGAAAAGACAGACTAGACTAAAATATAAATGCAAATCCATATATTTTATTTTTAACAGATGCCAGTAAATTTAATTTGATTTGTGAGTAAACCTGAAAAACATCACCTTTAAATAAACTTGCATAAAGCCCTAACTTTCCTTACTGTTAGTTTAAAAACCCAAATCTTGATGTTATGACAATATTAAAAAATAGAATAATTTTTTTTTAAAAAAAGGAAAAGCCCCTTGTGCAGATATTAAGCTATGACATTAGGATAGTAAACGTTTTATTTCTTTAAGGACAGTAACCACCACTTTGTTATTCCTACTCATGATTAAAATATGGAGATATTCATCTATATAATGAATAAAAGCACTCTGTCTAAGACAAAATCAAAAGTAAAAATTATCTGAGATGAAATTAACTGAAAGCAGAAAATGTGTAAAAAACCCCCCAGTAGTTTTGATGCATAATTTTAATTTGGGAAAATGTAACTAAGAAATAAGAAATGCCAATTTAACAAACAATTGTTCTGTTATCTAAGATGATTATCGTTCTTTTGACAACCATATAATGTTGGAAAATCATTCTATTTTCTTTAAGTGAAACCAGTTATTAATAAAAGATTGGAGAGATATCACACAATCTATTTCTAACTTGAGCAAATTTGTTTTAGGAGAGACATTTTAAAATGAGTAGGCATTGGAATCTGAAAAAATCTAATCTTGGAGAAAGTTAAATTTAAAGAGCTTGGGAAAGATTAACTGTTCTTTCAGAACTTTTATTTTAAAATCAAACCGTCAGATTGAGTTCCCTTGGCGGGGCTCCAGTAACATACATACATTCATCCGTCTGTTCATTTCTTCATTCCAGTACTTATAGAGGACCTACTATGCACAGATAACATCACTGTCCATCACTGCAATTGCTATTAATTACCCAATATAAAGACATTCAGCCATCCTCAGGCACAATGCTCATGTCCTCCACGGGACCAGGAAAACGACTGTAGTACAAATGCATGGAACTTTTTAAGACTGATTTATGGCCCACAGTTCCCTGCATTTTATTATATTCTCAATATCCACGCTCATGATCCAGTCTGACTGGTTTTCCTGGCTTTAAGAAATTAAAGACATCTCATTTTCACTCAAGTTATCTGCACAGTTTTCCGAGCTTTGCTCTAAAACACTAGCAGGTTAATTAATACAGTTACAACTTCTCAATCTATTCACCTTAAGTAAATAAGGAAAATAAAAAACCTTTTGGCATGTTTTAATTACAGCCTGTTAAGTATGGTATATGGTAAAGATATGGAAACAAGCAGGACAGCAATTTATGAAAGGAATAAAATTCCGAGGATAAACCTTCAAGAGTGCTCTAAGCCAAGTTTAAATCTCAGGGGATCTCGGGCCCGGTACTTTCCCTCTCTTTTAAATAAAGACATAAAAGACACAAAAATAAAGACTGCTCCTCCCCGCCCCCCGCCCCCTGCAAATCAACCTCTAGTCTAATGAGAAAATAATGAAACAGATTGTGGACAAGCCAAGCAGGATGTCTCTGCTGCCTTTCTCGACAAATTCTGAAGTGCAGTGTTTTTACTGCACCCGATTAGCTGAAGGAGTTTCATTGTTAAACTGCTGGCTGAATTTTGTAAAAGATACTAATCTTGTTCGAAATTGGAACATAATACCACCTTCCCCACCGTACCCCTCACAACAGCAAAATCTACTAAAGGAAGAGAAGCATAAATTTAGGTGAAATGTTGACTGGCTGAATCTTCACAACTGAACGCAGATACTCTGGCAAGGGAATAAAAATTGGTGCATATGGTTGTGGGTGGCTGCATCTTAACATCCCAAACCAAATCTCCCTCACGAAATATCAAATACAAATGCTGAGCTCACACAGAAGCAGCTTCCATTGTGCAGAGTGAACAGGCGTCTCTAGTCATATAGTTAGTCATCATCTCATGTCCCTAATCACTTACCTGGTTGATGTGCGGGCCAGGAAGCTGGTGGCAGCTAGGAAAGAAGGGCTACGTCCATCTTGGATACAGTCACCCAGACAATCTCCCTGATGCCTCTGCCTGACTCACTTTCTTGTACCCAACCATTCCCAGAGGCTCCCTACTGCCTCTTTGTTGTTGTTTCAGTCATGTCCTACTCTTCACAACCCCACTTAGGGTTTTCTTGGCCAAGATTTTAGAGTGGTTGGCCATCTCCCTCTCCAACTCATTTTACAGATGAGGAAACGGAGCCAAACAGGGTTAAGTGAGTTGCTCAGGGTCACAAAGCTAGTTAAGTGTCTGAGGCTGGATTTGAACTCATGCAGATGAATCTTCTTGACTCCAGGCCCAGCACTCTGCACTACAGTGCCACCTAGCTGCACTCTACGGTCTCTAGGACAACATAGAAAATCCTCAGCCTCTGTAAACAGCCAATGGCCTGGGTCCAAAATGGTGCAGTAGGAGGAGGAGAGAGGGCTGCGTTGTGTTTGGGAAGTTACACAGTGCTTCAAGTGGTCCAATGCTCTAGTTCTCATTGATCTCCTCTGTATTTCAGCCAAACAGCCTAGACATCCCCCCAGCTTCGCCCAGGATTCTCCTACTCTGTATTCAATCAGGACAGACTTTGTCACGGGACTCCCTTCCTCAAGTCTGTTGAAATCTTTTTTACCTCCTATTACAAAATATTTTGAATCAGCCTGTTTTCAAGGGAAAGGGGGGAGAAATCAACTACTTGTCAACAAGCATTTTTCATCCACCTGATTTTTCCTGCATGGATAGTAAGAGGAAACCTTCCTGAGTGATGATGGATCTCATTCAAGGGGCTCTAGCAGTGATACTCAGAGTACCAGCAGACATCTGATTCAGACAATGGTAACCATGTGTTAAGATATAATCAGTATAGTTTTTTGTGATTTTGTTTGGTGCCTGATACACACAGTGCCTCCCAACTTTCTTCCCGACAAACATTCAGGCTATATGGTGTAGTCTACATGCTTTTCGTTGTTGATGCATGTATTTTTCACAGTCCTCCCCTTGCATTGGAGTCTCTGGATATTAAGTAGATGTTGATTTAATTTAGAAAGTCTTATCAAATTCTTGGAAGGATTTTTGTTTCCTCATCCTCTATAATAACTTCATGGTTTTTTTTGGAAAATGCTCATTCAGCCCCCAGCAATATAAGATAGCTATGTCTCCTGTGAAATGGTATTTTTTATTGCCTTGAGGAATATGGTAAAGACAATTGTAACACCTTCTTTATTTGCCATTCTAAGAAGAATCTGTGAGAAACATATCCATTAAGCTGCCATCTCCTTGTTAACACATGTTAATATTGATAGAATTCAGTTACTCCAGTCATATGTCTGGTCATTGGTCAATGGAGAATCCCCAGTTTGGAGCAGTGAATGTCGGTCTCAAACCTCGAGATTATTAGAACGTCTCTCTCCTTTTCTGCTGTTGGTTACCACCAGTACCCAATGAGAAGGTGGCAATATAGAAGCCTTGTTTGTATTCAGTTGTCTTTCTTTCACGGATTGCTATGGCCAAAGAGTGTCTATAAGACTTGCTTCCTCTTTAAAAGAAGGTGAGCTCGTAGCTTAACAACAACAATAACAACACAGACAACTTTATTATGCTAGCAATTCTTTAATAAGTGGGGAGGGAGTGTAAGGAGGTAAAAGGATTGAAGATGATAAATTCTAAATATAACGCTTTGATCCCGGCTCTTAGATATCATAATGTGTTGCATCTTGTTTGCTTGAATCCCATTGTAACACTGTTCTTGGATTCTTAGCCAGAGAATGGGGACTCTCTTGCCAAGGCCAACCCCACTACATGTGCTCTTGGTCCCAACCCCTCACTCTTGTTTCACCAGCATCCCCATCATCTCTTCCCCTTCTCTCATCTTCAAACCCTCTTTCTATTGGTTCCTTCCTTGCTGTCTGCAAACATGCCAAAGTCTGCCCTAGCTCAAGCCATTATACCACATTTTTAACAGCCAATCGGGTAGAAATAGATGTCTATACCATTGCTTTCACTCACTTCTGAACCTTCTACAATCAAGCTTCCCACCTTATCACTCAACTCAAACTGTTCTCTTGAAAGTTACCAGTGATCTCTTAATGACCTTGCCTGATGGCTTTTCTCCATCCATAGCCCTCTCAATCTCCTTCAAGCTTTTGGCCCTGTTGGCCAACATCTGCTCCCAGATGCCAATTCTCTCCTGGCTTGTGACACTGCTCTCTTGATCTCCAGCTGTATGTTTGATTTCTCCTTCTCAGTCTCCTTCACTGGTCCATCTTCCATACAACATCCTTTAACTCTGGGTGGACCCTAAACCTATGCTGGATCCTTGTCTACTCTCTCTCTGTACTCTTGGAGACCGCATGAGCTCCTATGGATGTAAGCATCATTATCTCTATGCAGATGACTCCCAAACCAGCCTTAGTCTCTCTCCTGAGCTCAGACGCCCACAGGCATCTCAAACGCAGCATGCCCACCAATGAACTCATTCTTTCATTATCTTTCCCCATTCAGAAGTTCCTTATGCATTGGCAAGGGCACCACAATCCTGCTCACCACTCAGGCTGGCATTATGCTTGGTTGCTCACTCTTCCGCACCCCACATATTCAATCCATCACCAGATCTTATTTCCACCTCCACAACATTTCTCTTGAAGATGACCACTTCCCTCTGCTCACATGATCACCGCCCTCATTCAGTTTCTTATCCCCTCTCCCTGATTCAGTTTGTCTTCCTGTCGCAAGTCCCTCCACCTCCAAACCAACCTCCAAGCAGCTGACAGAGTAATTTCCCTAATGCATGGGTTTGACCAGATTGCTCTCCTACTTAATACACTTCAATAGCTCCCTCTGTCTCTAGAATTAAATATCAGTTCTCTGGTTAGCTTTTGGAGTCCTTCACAATCTGGTCCCAACCTGCACTTCCAACCTTTTAAACATGTTGGCCACAGTCCATCCAAACCGGCCTTCTTACTGTTCCTCGCATATGACGCTCCATCTCTCACCTCCACACCTATGTACAGGCTCTCCTCCATACACAGGGTTGCCATTCTCTGCCTCTCAGAATTCCCTCGTTTCCTTCCAAACACTGTTCGGCTCCCATCTTCTCCAGGAAGCCCTACTTGCCCTCCTCAGCAGCCAGTGCCCTTTCTCCAACATATTTACCTCATCCATTTTGTACAGATTTATTCGGATACAGATTCCTTGAATAGAATGCATGCTCCTTTTCCCATCTGTATCCTCAGTGTCTAGCACAGTGCATGGCACACAGCAGGTGCAAATGCTTGTTCACCGGCTGACTGACTGGAAGAGGTAAAAGACCTTGCAATTTGAGGAAATCACCGTAAATGAATCTTAAGAAGAAAGGAGAGGAAGGGAATAAGCATTTATTAAGCACCTATGATATGCCAGGCACTGTAACAAATGTTATTTCATTTAACCCTCACAATAGTGGCAATGACTACTACTACTACTATTCCCATTTTGTAGATGAGGAAAGAGAGGCAGACTTGCCCAGGGTCAATACAGTGAGTACCTGGAGTCTTCACCCCTCCACCCCTGGCACTCTGTGGACCAGGGTGCCCCCTGGCAGCAGGATTTATTACACACAACTATGCCCCCCAGAAAGCCCCAAATGTCTACTCACTGAGGTCAAAAATATGCTGTCTGAAAACGCCCATCCACTTGTGAAGCTCTTCCGAGCTCTCAGCAGCAAACGTCTGGGTCACCACCTTATCACCCAGGAGGTTGATCACGAAGAAGCGATTCGGTCTTTTCTTGGGATCGTTATCCACTGTGCGGATTCTGGTTTCCTAAAAGTTCAGATAAAACACCAACTGGCACTTAGCTCAACAATCCATCCAAAGACTGTGGTGCTCGGCTGGCACATTGTGCCCAGGGCACAGTGAGAAATCTGACTACTTAGTGATCAGTCCAGGCCTAAAAGGAGCCCTTCCTAGGACTGATTTTCAATATTCAAACTTCAAACTCCTATCAAGAGTGCAGGGGTTTCCTGCATTGGCTCTCTATACTGACTGAGCTAATTTCTATGAGGTGAAAATCTAGCCACTGTTTGAATCTCCCTTGGCGTAAAGGGGATGGGTCGGGGGGAGACTTATTTGCAGCTCTTAACCTGATCAAGCATATGATAACTGTAATGCAGAGTACACGTTATCTCTATTTTCAACAGTAATAAAATGGAAAAGAATCAGTAACATGCTCCTCATTCTGACATTCATGCCAGGAACCAGAAGGATCAGCTGAGACATGGAACGGACAATACAGTTTCTACTGTAGTGAGATGTTGTGAGGGTTCCCTCATTAACATTTATTTTATATCTACTGTTCATTTATAAAGCTCATAGCTAAAGGTCTATAAAGCGATATTACTCCCATAAGATGTTCAAATTCAATTTTTGGAATGCTAGAAAGCATTAAAAGGAAACCCCAGATTCAAGTCCCTGAAAAGACAATAATTCTACTGGGCCTGATTTGCCCACAGAAAGAGGAAAGGAGAGTCATGGGGCTGCATGCTGTTAGACAAGGTAGATCTAAACAGTGAGTGGGAAGAGGGCTCCCCCTGCCCTCTGGGGGAACACCCTGCTGCGGAAAGGGGATAATAATATAATTAGGTAGATGCAAAAGTGGTTAAGGGAACACACCTCAGAGAGCAGTGACTTTAAAAGTCATTTCAACTTGGGGAGTCACAAATGGGATAAACGAGGGTCATGACCCCTGTGCTGGGCAATTTAAAAAAAATTAAATGTTTATTGATATCTTTGGCTTTTACATTCCCTAAACTTTCTGTTTCTTTTCCCTTATCTCACTGAATAATTTAAAAAAATATTTTTAAAGAGAAACAACCCCCCTACCCAGAAAAATAGATCAATAAATTGAAAAAAAAATCTGACGATGTATGTCAATGTTCTACACCCATGGATCCCTGCCTCTGCCCTCCCCCACTTCTGCAAAGGAGGGGTGGGGGTGCTTTCTTCTATCTCTTCTTTGGTTTCTGGCTTGTTCCCTGGCATTTTGCAGCACTTCCTCCCAACCTCTTTAAATTCTAGTCTGTTCCCTCTCAATTCCTATTTATTGTGTACATAGCTCACTTTGCATGTTGTCTTCCCTGTTAGACTGTAAGCTCCCTGAGGGCAGGAATGGTCTTTTGCCATGTTTTATATCCCGACCACCTAGCACACAGTAGGCACTTAATAAATGTTTGACTGATTACTTTGTGGTTGGGCTTCTCTCCATTCACTGTGTTGTAGCCATTGTGGGTAGATGGGCATTTTGCTGTGGTTGTTTTCCCTTGCATTAGTTCATGTCTTTCCACACATTACATTCCTTACGTTTACATACTTTAATTCACAGATCCTTTTCCCTAATGAGCATCTACTCTGTTCCAAGTTCTCTGCCACTACAAAAAGTGATACAATAAATATGTTGTTGCATTATGGGACCTCGGAATCTCAGTTTTAAAGGACACGTGTATTTCAGTCACTCTATTTGTGTAAGTATAAATTGCTTCCCAAAGTGGTCAACTAATTCACTGCTCCACCAAGGCATATGTATAGTATATGCTTGTCTTTCTACATCTCCAGCATTGACTACTCCCACCTTGGCTGGGTGTGAGGTGAAACTCCAGGGTTGTTTTGATTTGCATTTCTCTTATAATTAGTGATCTGGAGCTTCTTTCAGATGGCTGAATTCTTCCTTTGAGAACTGTTTATTCATATCCTCAGACCACTTATCTACTGGGGAATGCATTGCCTTGTTGTTAGCTGTCCAAAAATCTTGGACAAAAATCCCTTATCTGAGAGTTTAATACCAACATTCTCTCCCCCATTTGACTGATTCTCTTCTTTACCTAGATGAGTTCATTTTGTTTGTGCAGAAGCTTTTCAATCTCATTTTATCAAAATCATCTATTTTATCCTTTATGATTGGCTCTGTCCCTGGCCTGGTTATGAATATATTTCTTAACTTTAACTTTGAAAGATATGTAATGTGCTTTTCTTCTAATTTTTTGTTTAATGGCAGTCTTTAACATTCAGGTCATGTATCCATTTTGAGTAATTGTAGAATATGGTATAAGATGTTGGTCCAACTTTGGCCAGGTTGCTTTCCAGCTAACTACTGGTTCTTATCAAAACAGGGAGTTCTTTTCTAAGCAATTAATGTTTTCAGGTTTATTGTATACTTGGTGATTTACTGTGTTTCATTATTTCCAGTTCTTCCTTGTCCACTTCCTATCACTGATTTATTCATACGTAGTTTAAATGGCTACCAAATGGTTTTGATGCTTGCTGCTTTATAATACAGTTTGAGGTATGCAAGTGCCATTCCCTTCATTCCTACGGTTTTTTTAATTTCTCTTTACAGGCTACATCTTTTGTTCCTTTAAATAAATTGTTTTTCTTTTATTGAGTTCTAAAGAATCCCTTTGATAGTGTGATTGCCATAGCATTAAAACTGTACATTAACTTTGCAAGTATTTCCATTTTTATTATATTGGCATGGCCTAGCCATGAGCACTAAAGATGCTTTCAATTGTTTACATGGTTCTTTATTTTCTTAAGGAGTCCTTTGTAACTGAATCTACATAAGTATTGAGTGTACAACTTTGCTTCTTCCACATTTTATCAATGCTGCAGATAAATGCCCACATGGAATGCCTTTGAAATACTGCATCATGCAAGCACTGAAAGAAAAGCTACACCCTAGATGACAGAAGCAAGATCTGTTGTTTCTCCATAGGGTAATGCCTTGACCTAAATGTGAATTGAATTTAAGTAAGGCAGAGCTCACTTTCTCCTCCAGAACCAAGATCTAAAAAGATTCTGCATTCTAAAATGATGTGCCATAAAGATGGCCTCAACAGCTGATGGGCCAATGAGTGAGGACGGACATGACAATAAAGGGAGAGCAAACTGGAAGAAGGGGAGGGAGGGGGGATAATGTTGATGATGAAGAATGACAAATTCTGAATTTCTCCCTCTCCCTCCAGGGTAAATAGTTCCCGTTCCTTCCCTTCAAATATTTATCTCTGTGTACTTAATACCAAAAAAGAAAGAATTGTCCACAATTTATAAGGAAAAATTTAACAAATCAGACATCACTTAACAGGGTAAGTTAATTAGAAGTGAATATAAAACTAATGCAAGTAGGCTAAGAAGGGGAGAGGTTGAGGCTGTATCAAATCCATAATCAATCAACAAACATTAAGGGCCTACTAGGTCTCAGGCCCAGCCCAATCCAAGGACACCAAAGATAGTCCCGGCCTTCAAGGAGCTCATGGGATATCAGGATCTGATAGTGATCCCAGATAAAGATAACTAAGACATATGTGACCAAAAGCTATTTGCCAGTAGATAGGATGGCAGATAGTAGATCAAACAATTCTCAAAAGAATTTTAAAGTATTCATGGCCTGATGAAAGAATTCTCCAGATCAGCAGGAATAAGAGAAATGCAAATGAATACCACTCCCAAGTTTTACCTCATACCCAAAACACTGGTGAAGCAGACAACAGGGACAATGAATGGAGGGGCTGCAGAAATACAAGCACAGGAATGCACTGTCAACCATTCTGCAATGCCATTTGCGATGATGCAAATGAAAAGATTCCACTGTGAAGCATATACCCTACCCAAGCAAGTCAATGAAGGACAGAAAGAAAAGAGGCCTATATATACACACCAAACCATTTACAGCATTTTTGTAATCAAAGGACAGGAAAAAGAAGCCTAGCAACTAAAAAACAGGTAACCGTAATAGGAGAATTTAATGGAATATTATTGTGCTGAAAGAAATGATGAATACAATAGTAAGTGAATTCTACCAAACATTTAAAGATCAACTAATTTCAATATCAAATAAATTATTTGGAATAATTTGCACCAGAAATGCAGGGATGGTTTAACATCAGGAAAACCATTAATAGAATTCATTATATCAATAACAAAAGTAACAAAAATCACAATGATACGAATAAATGCGAAAAAGGCTTTTGACAAAATGCAACATTCGTTCCTATTTAAAAATACCTGAAAGCAGAGGTATAAATGGATATTTCCTTAAGATGATAAAAAGGATCTACTTAAAATCATCAGCAAGCATTATCTGTAATGGGGATAGCCTTTGCAATATGATCAGGAGTAAAACAAGGATGCCCATTATCACCAATGTTATTTAATATTCTACTAGAAATGCTAGCTATAGCAATAAGACATGAAAAAGAAATTGAAGGAATCAAAACAGGCATTGAAAAAATAAAACTATCACTTTGAGGATGATACAGCGGTATACTTAGAGAACCCTAGATTTACTTGGAAAATCTAGGAAGCTATCTGAAAACAATTTCAGCAAAAGTAGCAGGATATAAGAAAAACCCGCATAAATCAGCATTTCTAGACAACACCAACAAAACCTTTCAAGAAGAGATACTCCATCTAAAATAACCATAGACAGCATAAAATATCTGGAAGTGTATCTGTCAAGACAAACCCATGAATGACATGTATGTAAGTATAAAACACGTTTTATACAAATAAAGTCAGATTTAAGTAACTGGAGAAATATTAATGTTCATGGATAGGCAGAGCCAATATAATAAATGGCAATTTTACGCAAGCTAATCTTTTTGCTAAAAAATTATTTTGAGCTAGAAAATATAATAATTCATTTGGAAGAGCAAAAGGTCAAGAATATTAAAGGAATTAATGAAAAAAAAAAAGGAAGGCTATTTGGCAATACCAGATCTTAAACTATATTATAAGGCAGTAATTGTCAAAACTTTGTGGTATTGGCTAAGAAAAAGAAAGGTGGATCAGTGGAACAGAGTAGGCAAACAATACACAGCAGTAAATGATTATAATAACCTTATGTTTGACAAATGTAAGACTTAAGCTTTGGGGATAAGAATCTACTATGCTGGTAAAAATTGTTGGGAAAACTAGAAAGCAGTCTGGCAGAAATTAGGCATAGATCAATATCCTACAGTATTTACCAAGCTAAAGTCTAAATGGATAAAAGATCTAGATATAAGGAAAATTAGAAGAACGTGGAAAATATTATCTATCAGACTGATGGATGCCCATCAATTGAGGAATGGCTAAACAAGCTATGATATATGATTGTGATAGAGTATTATTGTGCTATAAGAAATGACAAGCAGGTGGATTTCAGAAAAACTTGGAAAGACATGAACTGATGCAAAGTGAAGTGAGTAGAACCAGCAATAGGGTATGAAGAACTGTGAGTGACTTAGCCATACAATGATCCAAGACAATCCCAAGGGGACTCATGAAGCAAACTATCCGTCTCCAGAAAAACTGATATGGACTGAATATAGACTGAAGCATGCTATTTTTTGCTTTCTTTCTTTTTTAATTCCAGTCTTCTGGTACAAACATCTATTAAGCACCTACTACGTGCTGGGCAGTGTGCTCAGCACTGAGGATACTAAGAAAGGCAAAAGAGTCCCTATTCTCAAAAAGCTCACAGTTTAATGGAAGGGACAACATGTTAATAACTGTGTGCAAACAAGGCATATTCAGGATAAATTGGAGCTAATCAACAGCAGTGCATGGACAAGAAGGGGTGTGTAAGATTTCCAATTGAGACAACACTCTCTGAGATGGAAAGAAGAGAAGGGAATAGGTTTCAGTGTTTTAAAAGATGACAACATTTTAGTGAATAAGAGCGTAGGGAAGGTCCCCAACTCAAGAATTTTACATCTGGGGGCAGAACTGAACTGGCTAACTCAGAAGTGACCAAAAGCCACGTCTTTTTTAAGACTTTTTTTTTTTATCCTTACTGGCCTAAGAGCATCATATTTTACCTTGTTAAAAGGCACTACCAAAGTGGGTTCCATTTTAGCTTCAGTTTCTTCTGGGCTGTAATAGCAGAAGAGTTGGCCACTTCTCAGCACACAGTAGAGCCTTCTCCACATAATTAGGCCTTCGACCATTAGCTGAAGAAGAAATAATCAGCAAATTAACAACTTTCTCAGTTTTGCTAATTCTAATAAAGTTTTGAAATTCTCCAAGTTTACCCTATTTTTACAATTTGAAACCAGCACGAGATTTCCCTTTTAATTCTTTATGAAGTAAATCAGTTTCCAGAGATCAAAAAGCAAGTTAGCTTCAGGGAATTAAAGTACCAAATTCACAAAGAATCTAGACTAAACAATAAATACCACAGAGCTATCCCCCCCACAAAATAATAATCAATACATCGTTCTAAGAGATCTTTCACCAAATGAAGCAAGTCCGTTAAAAATCAGTGCCCCAAACACAGTGGCAATCTATTAAATGACCTGGCAAAATTAGAAAAAATAACTGGGTGATTTTCAAAATCAAAGCCACCCTCTGCTGGGAACACTGCAAATGCCAGCTACTCAGTAAGAATGCAAATCTTCTTTTCTTCTAATAATGGAATCTCTCTTGGAAAAAAGCTATTGATTCACTATAGTCCATAATGAATTATTTACTGGATGGAAATAACTATTTATGGTTATGAATAAATCAGTAGTAGGTGGTACAGAGGCAGATTTGGAAGCTCAGGGGCCTCGACAGTGCCAAAATCTCATCTCTGCCAGTAACTGGCTTGTGTGAACGGTGGCAAGCATTTCCCCCTCCCCAAATCAGGGCTTCACAAGAAGGGGCCTTCTGTTGCTACTGAATATCCAGCACAGAGCTGGGATGGGGAAAAATAGGGAAGAGTTCCTTATGCAACAGAAGGCTTCCCTCTGGCCAAACCCTCCCCTCTGACATAGACACCAAGAGTTCCTGACTGTCCTGGAGCCTCTGTGCAATTTACGTCTTCTCAGAAGAATGTTTTTAAATGCATAAAATAAAATACATAGGATTACATAGGAAACCAATTACATTGAAATAATTATCAAACAATTTAAGTTCACAGACATAGCACACATACACACACGTGTGTATATATATACATATATATATGCACATATATATATTATATATAATACACACCCACCCACCCACGTGCTCATGCCCACTTCCCTTACAGTCATGACACTCAGAGAAGTAGAGATGAGCACCCTGTTAATACTGATCATTCCCCATCCCCCCTAGATGTTTGGGGCAGCTGAGCGCCTTCCCAAGCCCCACCAGGGCCAAGCTCTGGACTAGACTACAATCCTGAGCCCAAGAACCCTACAGCAGGAACCTCTTAGCTTCCACTGCATGTTGGACTTTCCCCTTGTAAGCCCCATTCCAACAAAGATCTTTTTAGTTTATATAATGAGTACATAAGCACACCAACATCGGTCTAATGATTGATCAGATTTAGATATGACACTTTAATAACCCCATAAACCACGATATTCCACAACAGACTTTTCCCTATTGGAAGAAGGCCAGAGAACAACATCAGTATATACAGATTTAATTGGCTGTAATATTCTCTAATGCTTCAAACAGACATTCACTACTGCTAAAGGATATGGGAGAGCATTCGAACCTGCTGATTCAGAAATCCTTTGAATGCATCTTCAGCCATGCAAGCTGGCTGAGCAGCTAATCGGCAGCACATGCTGCCATACAAGGGAAGCCAAAATGATGACTCTTCTGTTTAAAAGAAAAAAAAATCAGAAGAAAAATCACACAACCATTGTGTAGCGATAGAAACTCATTTAAGCCAGTTACAAAATCCATTTTAATTTTGTGATGTTTTATCTTTGTGTAACAATAGGTTTTAAAATTCATTTTTAGCATTATAAGCTGTTGTACTGTTTATTATTCCTGTGCCGTCCAAGGCTCATTCCAATCAGAATACCAATGGCATGATCTGATACAAAGAAATGCTAGAATAAAACAAGAGATCAGGATGAAATTTGTAGGCTCGGTCAGCAGGGCCACAAGAAAGAAGTGGTATTAACAGTATTTATCCTGTATTTCTTCTGCTAAAATAAACAAGGGACTTTGTGTAGGTCACCTTTTCTTTTGCTGCTAATAAGTCAATAAAAGGGGGTTGGTCTATTCGTATAACACACTTTATTTACTAGATACAGCCTAAGAAGTTGCTAGGAAGAAGCTGATTTCTCTACTACATCAAATACTATTTTTAAACTGGTGTATATTATGAAAATTAGCTAGGTTCCCCTTTTTAAAAAGCGACTCCCAAATAATAATGTCAAACCTGAGGCTATAGTAAAGCTTTCAAATATGAACTTTAAAAGAAAAATTGCTTGCTGTTAGAATATTAATAATACTATAAATATGAATGTTCAGTAACCAGAATTCAGCCTTCTGTTTGGTTGGGTTAGGTTTGCTTACGGGGCTTACAGGAAAAAGAATAATGACTTAGCTTAACTAAACAGAACAGAGTCGATGGAAAAACCACGGTGCCTTTTGATCAAAGCCCTTCTCCAACATGACACAGCAGGATAAGACCACCACTTCTCCTGGGCTTCGGAGAGACCTCGTTTCTCAGCAGTCTGTGGAAGCTGCTGCCTTGTTTTCAGAATGAATGGGAATCTCATACCCATCAAAATGGAAAACAACGATGAAAAGCAATGAAGGTCAATGCTGGTGGCATTGTGGAGAAACAAACTTACTTTTTCACTGCTGATTCAAGTAGGTTCAAATGTGTTGAACTTTTTGGGAGAATAAGTCAAGACAACAGGTATTTGCTAAGCATGTGCTAATGTGAAAGAAGAGAGGCAATATTACAGTGGTTAAGAAGACCCAGGTTGAAGCCCTTCCTCCCATTCCTACCAGCTCTGTGACCAGGGGCAAGTTAACAAGTCTAATTTAGAAGTGAGTCTGGATTGGTGGAGGGAATTTCCATACTGGGGGTTCTTTATGTGGATGAAATCACCAAAGAGCCACATCTAGCCCCTCAAGAAAAAAAAATTATGGTGGACACTTGGCTAGGTAACAGTATTGAAAAAAAAAACAATCTGCAGGTTATATTGTCTTGGAATAACCTGGTAGCACACAGTCCAGGTTACAAAAGAAATCACACCCTTTGATCTAAGAATGGAATTTTGGGGACTACACCTGAAAGGATCACCAAAAACAAAGAACTATCAGTTTAAAGATTTTCACAGAAGCGCTGCCATTGTGAAAAGTGGGGATTGATCCGAGTTCAACAGGAGGGCAATATTTTTAAAATTGTGGCATATTAACTAAAGAATCAATAAGTATTTATTAAGTTCTTACTATGTGCCAGGCACTGTGCTCAGTGTTGGGGACAGAAACTTTGCTTGAGGCAGAAGGAATGACTGAGACTGATAACAGGGAGGGCAGACTTGCTCAGCTGGAGTTTGCTTCTGATTCCTCTGCCAAGGAGAATCACTACCGCCCTGGAAACGATGGAACAAAAATGACTAAAAGGTGGTTGATGTCCAAAATAAGAAGAGAATGAGAGAAGATCCAGCTGCCCTCGATGAAGTGAATTCACTTGTCGCAGAGGAACTCCATGCTCAGGTCCCAAGGAAACTGGCCAAGGTGAAGGCCAACACTCTGTCACTGAGGAAGGAAAGATCATGGAGAACTGGAGCCCATAAGCTTGACTTTGACTCCTGGGAAAATTCCCAAAAGCATCATTAAAGAGACGGCAGATCATTATCTAGAAAGGGAAGCCGTAATTACCAAGAAAAGGCAACATGGCTTCATCAGGAAGAGATCATGCCGGACTAAACTCATTTCGCTTTTTTTGGACATGACTACCAAACTTGGAGATGAGGCAAATGGTGGAGATGCAATTTATCTAGATTTCAGCAAAGATTTTGATAAAGTTCCTATTCTGACGAAGATGGAGAGATGTAGAGTAGATAATATCATCAGATGGATCCAGAACCAAGCAAACAGCTGGACTCAAGTAATTGTTAATGGTTCCTAGTCAACACGGCAGGTCTCCAGTGGAGGGCCCGAGGCACTTGTGCCTGGCCTTGTGTGGTCAAACATTTCTGACGATGACTCAGATAAAGGGACAGATGGATGGCACGCTTATACAATCTGCAGAAAATGCCAAAATGGTAGGAACTGCCAATACACTGGACGACAGGGTCTGGATCCCAAAGGTTCTTGACAGGCTTGACATTGGACTGAAACTAATAAGATGACATTCAATAGGAATCGATATAAAGTTTGATACAAGTGTAAGTGTAAGATGAGAGTGTGGCATAGTTGGGCAGTGGATCTGAGAAAGATCTGGGGGGCTGATTGGACAATAAGCTTAATGGAGGCTTCAGAGTGATAGAGCCCCCAAAAAGTCTGAGGTAATGCTGGACCACAATGGCAGGAATAGCTTTCAGGAAGGAGGAAGTGGTGGACCCTTCATCAGACCACACATGGAAGACTGTTTAGTTCTCAGCACCATAGTTTAAGGAGAACATAGGTAAGCTAGAGAGTGTCCAGAGGAGGATAACCAGGCTGGCAAAGGGCCTTGAGTCTATGACATATGAGAACCGCCTGAAGGAACTGGAAGAAAAGCCTCCAAGGGGACATGCAAAGGAGATTTGTTCTGGTTGGCCCCAAAGGAGAAGTAAAGAACAAATGATGGTAGGTGCAGAAAAGACAGCATTCACAGGCTCCATGTCAGGAAAAATTTCCTAACAATTGGCGCTACCCAAGATGGAACAGAGGGCCTCAAGCAGAGGCCGGCCAGCTGTGTGTGGGGTGTTCTAAGGGGAATCTCATTGGTGTGAGGGCTGGAGCTCCTCGATCCCCAAGTTTGTGATGCTTGATTCCACGAAAAAACAAAAACACAGTGCCTGACCTCAAGGAGCTTACACATTGGAACACTATATAAATATAAATGAGGAATAAAGCTAGAAGGACCTTTGGGAAATAATGCAAATTAACAAAAGCAAACCCAAAAGAACAGGGCATACGATAACTGTATTCACAAGAGGGAAAATAAAGGAGAATGAATGGACAAAGAAGCAATCCTGATGAGCCCAAGAGAGAGGTAAAAGTTAGGTTTAGGGTGGAGGTAAATGGACCATACCCACAACCATGTAACTTGGAGAATGTCTACATTTAGATTCTGAATAGCTTTCTGAGCCAGCATGGCCTGGAAGCCAGAAAGATCTGGGGTACCATCCAAGCTAACTTCTCAGTGCCCTTGGCCAGAAGTGTTAAACCTCAATAGAGACAAGGGGCCACTAATCTGTACATAGGGATCCCTGCAGGATGCCAACTGACTTAGTTTTAAAATGTAATTTTAAGTATGTTTGGTTGCATTTTTAGTTATTTTGTTAAATATTCCCCCATTACATTTTTAATCTGCTTCAGGCTACACTGGAGGGTTGTAGACAATGTGTCAACCTACAATAATTGAGGGAGTTTCTTCACCTGGAATTTTCCCATACCAGCCAATGAAAGAACAGGTCTCATCTGTGTCCTTATATCCCGTTTCCTCTAAACACTTGCTGCCACATTTAATGGCTAAAACCAGCCCCCTTAGAACTTCAGAAGGAGTATTTCTTTTCCTTTATGTAACCTTAAAATAATCTGTTAGCACACTATTACTGTAAAGTTACTAAGAATGTGCTAAAAGGGGACAGTTCAAAAGTCTTCAGGTGTACCATGGAGTATTTAGAACACATAAAACAAAATATATTATTTTTATGATTAGCTATTTTAGCCTTTTACTGAATTAACTGAACTTTGATTAAACTTTCAACGCCAACATATTAAAACCTTACATTCAACAACACTGTAACTGATCTAGCTCATCCAAAAGAATATAAGCTACTTGGAAAGCAGAGACAGTTTTCCATTTTTGTCTTCATATCCCCACATTAGTACAGCAGCCTGTCACGGGGCCTAACCTGATGGTTGTTGAATGGAACGTAAAGAAATAAGAATGAACCTATCCTCCAGTGATCTGAGATAAATAAAAAGATCTTCTCTTGAAAGCAAACCAGGAAGCTGAAATATGCCACTGTGTCTAAGATGGTGGAAAAAGGAGCAGCATTTTTGTGAATTTTTTTTCCTTGACACCATTTCTGGATTACCAAGCCAGAAAAAAACAGAATGGTGGCCACTGCTATTTATTTTCCAATTTGGGGACGACTGGCGGGGTCAACTCCACTAATTTTGTACTTTGTGGTATCACAGCCCTGGGTCCGACATTTACCATCCAGATCCTAACAGACGAGGAATTTAGGCATTAAATGAGATGAGACCGTGAGAGTTATTTTTTAAGTTTGGATGGTTTCCTGGGAAAGCTGACACTGAAAAAAAATATTCTGCTCCACAGACACTTTCTCATCAGAACCTGAACATGAAATATTATTCTTATGAGTGTACAGTCATTCCACTTGAAAAGTGAGCTTTACTCATTAAACTATTATGTTGATTTTTTTCTGCCTCATTCATGAACTATTATTAAAAATTGTTTAAAAAACAGTACAAATCAATTTACCTTTCAAAAATCAATTTTTTTTTTAACCTCCCATAGAAACCACCTAAGGAAAAGATAAGAGCTGAGCCTTCTAAATTCCCATGCTCCTCTTCCTTCCATTTTCCTCCAAATCTGAGCAGATGTGAGGTGATAGATACTTCTTTCTCCTCAGTTCTCCCCCGCCATCTTTCTTTTGCTACTGCCCACAAGATCCTCAGGTACTAGGATAGGAAGTTTTGGCCTAGCCCCACCCTCTTGCATTGGAGGTAGGCATCATCTGCTTCCTACCACCAGAGGGGGTGGGTGCCTCAATTTCAAGTCTGTTAGCAAACTCTCCAATTGCCCCTAAAGCGGCCCAGGGGAACTGCAATGGGCTTGTCTATTTCACAAGAACAGAAATGGATTCATAACATCTTCCTCTCGGCCCACCTTGTGATGGGAATATCTCAGACAAACACTCCCATCCCTTCCCATCCCATTCCTCAATTGCTCTGCCCCTAGAAAAGTGCAAAGAGAAAAGAAACTCCCAAGTCTAAAGACCAGTTTGAGAGGTCATGTCAATAGTGCTTGTGAACACAAATCCATTGTCAGACTGAAGACAACAGATGCATCTTTGAGAGAAACATGTTAAAATGTGAGCATTGTATTTAGTTATCTGTGTATTTTATAGAACTAAATAGACTTACCATTTCCAGTAACAGTGAGAGTATGGGTCCTGAAGCTGTCATCAATATTTTCCAGGGTCAAAGTAGCATGGGCTAGCAAACTGTACTTTACACCCCTAATAGCAAGAAACAAATTCTAATCAGTATTTCAGAACAGCTCAATATACAAAGAGAAAACATTTGGCTACGTGGAATGGTAGACAGCAGGGGGAGAGGGTGGTGTGGGGCAGTGTCTGATCCCACACCAATCAATACATGCTAACAAACTGTAGTATGTTTATTTCCCTTCTGTGTTTTTAAGTAATGTTTACAAATTATTTGGGAAATTCTCTACAAAAATACAGATAGGCAAACATATAACCGCACAGATAGATCCATTTCTTTAGGACATTTACTCTAGACAGCTGATATTTTCTCTTTTTTCTAAGGATTAATTAGTTCAAAGTTTTGGGCTTTCCTCCATGGTATAAGATGGTTAGGTAACTTGTTTTTAAATCCAATAGTTGTTTTCTTAATTGTTGCGTTTTGCTATGTGCTAAAATAGCACCCTTGTTAAAGCTTTTAGGAATTACAGCAATCAATTTCATCATATTGCACTGAGCATACTCATATAAAATTGATGAGAAGTTAATTTTCCTGTTTTTTATTTGCACCAATTTTCAAAAATAATCAAATTGTAATGGAGAAGCTGGCATCAGCATCAGGAAGACCCAGGTCCAGATTCGGCTCATGTCACATTCTGGATGTGTGACCCTGGGCAAGTCATTGAACTTAGCTGCTACCAGCGACTAACACTGTATGTTGTGGAATAGGTATTGGACTGCATCAGTGGATAGAATTTCTTCACAATTTTCCCCAAACACATTTATTAGTCATTCATGAACACTTTGTGGGTTTCTTTTTTTAAGGATAGTAACATTTAGGATTACCTTTGGTTTAAAAATCAAAGGTATATAATTGGTCACAGCAGAATAAATTGTCTCCAATGATGTCCAAGAATGGTGCTGCTACAGAGTGTTATAATGATGCTAGTGTTGAGGGGTAAGCGGAACACTTGTGCTATTATTGCATGTTTCTATGTTAGGTATGTATGGGAAGGTGGCATAAACAGGAGGATAAGTAAAAGGTGAAGGCAAATAAAACTGCCACAGAGCAAGGACTGATAGTCTCGTTGGGAATGGGCTCTCCTTCCACTGATGATGTTCACAACCTCAATGATTTATTTAGTCAATGTTTTTTGAAAGCTGTCACATCCTCCACATGCATCATCCCAAAGCATCCTACTGAAGAAGAGTTCTGGTTTTGGCTGGCCACATAGTTAAAACCAGAAAGGTTTGGTAGGATCTCTGCTCCCCTGGCACAGCCTTTAAAAATTACCACCATGCCACAGTGAGGCAAGGGAGGTCATCAAAGAGGATGTAACTAAAGCAAATCTTTTGCCAAAGTAAAGAATTAAAAACAAATTAAATGTCAATCAATTAGGAAATGGCTAAACAAAGGATGTGAGTGTACCATAAGAAATTATGATTACGAAGAATTCAGAGAAGTATGAGAAGACTTAGATGAACTGATACAGAGTAAAGTAAGTAGAATCAGGAAAACAATGTACACGACTGCAACAATGAAAATGAAAAAAAAACCCATCACAAAAAACCCCCAAAATCAAAAAAATGAACACTGAAATCACAATGACCAAGCTTATCTCCAAGAGAGTGAGACTTGAAATCTCAGAGAACATGCCTGCCTTCCCTTTGAAGATATAGGGAACCAGGGCTGTGGAACATGGCACTGAAAGCCACTCCCAAACTGCTTTTTGGTTCTTTCTTTCATTTTGTTCATGTTAGACCGCCGGTTCAATGAGTGGGGCCAGGGACTATACCCAATAAATTATTTTGATGAAAAATCAGGACAATAAATGTCTTCTGAAATCTTTTAGAAATCTCAAGTTATGCCAGAACGATCCTTACTATGTGATTTCTAATGTAAACCTTCAGTCTTTATTTCTATTTCTTAATCTGAAAGTAGCATATGAAAAGGCACATAGAGAAACTCCCCAAAGGAGGAGGCACAGACACTGATACACCATAGGTGGAGCTGTGAATTTCTAGGAAAGAAAAGCCATTACACTACTCATTCTTTGACCTAGTGATCTCACTACTAAGAATATGGGGAGAGGGGAGGAAATAAGCAATTAAGCACCTATTCTGTGCCAGGCATTGTGCTAAGCGCTTTAGAAATATTATCTAATCCCCCAAAGAAGTCAAAGACAGGAGACAAGATCCCATATAAAGCAAAATCATTTACAGCAACACTTTTTGTGGTAGATAAGAAAACTAGAAGTGGGTACTCATCAGCTGGCAAATGGATGGATAAACTATAGCCTATGAATGATTATAGTAAAGATAAGGAATTCAGAGAAACCCAGTAAGACTCACCTGAGTGGATGTAGTTTGATAAACAGAACCAGAGTATTCTAGCCAATGACTAAAATAATTTAAACGTAACACTAAGAGGCAGCAGAACTATGATTAGTTATAATGACCAATCCAGAGAACTGAGCAGGAAACACACAGAATCACAAGATGATAGAATTTGGGAGTCGGAAGAAACCGCAACAGCCACCAGGTCAAAGGCATTTTGGATAAAGCTCTCCCACACCCAACAAGCAGCAATCTAGCCTTTCCCACCACCTCCTCAGGCAGCTCAATCCACTTCCAATTATTAGGAAGCTTTCCCTCACGTTAAACCTAAACACACCTTGTTGCTTTTTAACCAGGTGTCCTAGTATTGCCCACTGGGGCTAAACAGCATCAGCTTACTCTTTCATCCATTCAATGCTTTCTCAGACACTTGAAGACAACTACCCATTCTCTTCTGAGTCTTCTCTTCTCCAAGCTAAACATCCCCAGCCCCTCACCAATCCTCATGGCATGAACGCAAGGCCCTTCCCCTTCCTGGTCAGCCTTCTCTGGACACACCATCTTATCAACGTCCTTCATATGATTTGTTTAGAATTGAACACAATACTCCAGATGTGATAGCCTGGATGAGGTAGAGAACAGAGAGCCTGTGACCTCTAACTTCTCTTCATAGAGAGAGAGCCCAAGATCACATGTCATCCTGATGACTCACAGACCAAGTGCTATTGAACCACACCTGTCTCCTCCATCTTACCTTTATAAAGTCAGTTTCCTAATTCAAGTGTTAGGCTTTATAGTTTCCCCTGTTAACTTTCATCTCACTGGGTCTATTAGGATCCAAACTCCGTCATTCATTATATTAACTATTATCCCGAGCTGTGTGCCCTTCAAATTTAATAAGAATGCTGTCTATGCCTTTATATAACAGCACAAGGTCAAGCACAGGTCCTTGGAGGAAATTCCACTACAGATATCTTTCTAAGCTGCCATTGAAGTGGTAATGATTACTCTCTGGGTCTATCCATTCAACCAATTCCAAATCCATCTAACTATATTATCAATCAGCCCACATGTCTCCATCTTTTCCATGAGAGCGGTATGCGGTATCTATCCCCACCCCTCATCTACTGTTTTGGTAACCCTAGAAAGAAACAAAAAGAAAGGAAAAGAATGAAGGGAGAGAGGGAGGAAGGCAGAAATAAGGAAGGGAGGGAGGAAAGAAAGGAAGGAGGGAAAAGAGAAGAAAGAAAGGATGGGGAAAGGGAAGGAGAGGAAGGGAAAAGAAGGGATTAGCCTGGCTTGTTTTGACGAAGTTGTGGTGGCTATTTTTAGGATTGCCACTTCCTTTTATTGAGGCTTACTAAGAAGATCTTTAACAATACACTTTCCCAGGAATTTAAGTTAGGTTGATCTTTAGTGTACAGATTCCATTCTCTCCCATTTTTTGAAAAGTGGGACAATGTTTGTCCCTCTCCAGGCCTGCAGTACATCTCCTACTTTACTGCCATGATCCCTCAAATATCAGACAGTTGTTTAACACACCTGCCATCCCTTCCAATCTCTACTCACGGACACCTAAACAGCCTTTTACTATCTCCTTTTGTGTACCAACTACCAATTAGCCATTTTTAATTACCAAATCAAAAAGTTACTGGCTGCTCTGCTTTGAACAAAGCCCTCCAGCTAAAGTCTGGATAACTGAAGTCGCCTATCATTACTACATCATGCCAGTGAACCAATCTTGTCATCTGTTTCCTGACCAGGTGATCTGTAATAGTCTGAGACAAAATTGCTTCCGCATGTTGTCCCATTAGCTGATATCCAGTCAAACACCCTCTATATTTCTCTTTCTCTGGTTCCTAGAACTCCTGACATAACCAGAACTCCATAATCTACAATGCCACTGCTCCCCCTTTCACCTCTCCTGTTTCTTTTCTGTAAGGAATACCTAGCAGAGCTACATTCCTGTCAAGGGTCTCATCCCCCCAAGCTCTGTGATTCCCATTTCTTCTTGGTGCTTGCCAAGGTTTTCTCTTGGAATCCTTTTGTAGATTGTTATCTCCTTTGAACTTTGGGGTCTGCAGCAGCTACTTTTCCTACATTTCTTTCAATGGTCTCTAGACAGTGATTTTCTCCCTCCTCCACCGGTGCTTTGTAGCTAAAAAGTCTTTTGATTACATTTGCAAGATTTCAGCATGTGCATCCTTTCAAGACTTTGTTGGGTGTACTCCTTCCTCCTAGCAGAAAGGAGGTGGGATCATGGATATAGAAAGAGAATAAGTTTTACTTAAATGTTTTTCTTTGTTCAAGGGAAGGTGCAGTGGGTGACAGCTGGGGTTCAGAGGAAAATGACTAATGTAAAAAACTTTTTATTCTTAAAAAAGAATGAGGCAATCGTGATGGAAAATGCTATCCACTTCCAAAGAAAGAACTATGGAGTTTGAATGCAGATTGAAGTATACTATTTGCAATTTTTTTTCTTTTGTTGAGTTTTGTTTCCTCTTTCTGATGGTTCCTCCTATTGGTTCTAATTCTCACTTACAAGATCACTAATGTGAAAATATGTTTAATAGGGAATGTATATGTATAGCTTATATTAGATTGTGCATCATCTTGGGGAGAGTGGTGGGGAAGAAGGGGGAGAAAAAATTCAAACTCAAAAGCATATGGAAGTGATTGTTGATAAATCAAAATAA